CTTGTTTCATGGAAAGAAGAAGTTGAGAAAGACGTTGACAAGGAGAATATCTTGKTATGCTCACTACAACAGGCCGAAAAAGATGGCACTGATTCTGCAGTAATTCACCAAAAAATAACGAATTACAGGAGCACAGGMAAGGAATGCATCCAGGCTATACTTTTACGGGGGACAACGTTGATATGAAACAGAAACAAAGACCACCACATGKACCAGATGGTCGCCTTCAAGAACAGGGTGTCTCCTAACCATCTCCCATCGAAAGAGCAGAAGAACGACATTAACAAAGTGCCGTTCACAACATTCTTGCCAACTGTAGAAGAACAACTGAAACTGGAACAAGGGCTAACGATTCTCGTAGGCAACAAATGGGCTCGATACATTCCTTCCCTCTCTTGGTTGAACGATGTCTTGCCTACAAGAATATCCCACAAGTACATGGACCAAACCAGCCAAAAAACCGAAAAGGTWTTATTAGTACTGATTTCTTTATAAKTATGTCTAGCTAACGTTTTGCTAATAGTAATCATGATTTTATTTTCTCATTAATTTTGGCATTCTATCTTTTAGGTTAATCTTGGTGTTCTACGCAAGAACGAGCAGTACGAGGAAGACATGATCGATATCGCTCAATTTCTTCATGCATACGCACCCAGACACGACGAAGAATCTACTGTCAAGCCCAAAAAAGTGTTAAGCGGGGGTGACTATCTAACATTTGAAAGACATAAAGAAGCACAATCGGCCATGCAGGATGCCATAACACCCTCAGCACTTCTTGAAGGATTAATTCCAAAAATCGAGGATTTCCATACACAAATGGAGTGGATGCAGGTATTCTCAATGTAGAGCTTTGCGATACTTTCACTGGCACAATGAAAAGCGGGTATTTTTGGGGGAAAGGGAGAGTAAGGACTGGAATAATCCTTTTTACTCTTTTATCAATTCAAATTCTACTTTTTGGTGGCTGGGTCCGATGCGCACACAAMGTAAGAAAAGCGTATTTTCTATAAACAATGAACGCTGACCGACTGATCATACCTTGCGTTTGCAAAACCGGGTAGAAAACGATCCCCCAACTATTGAATAGCAACTCTTTTGGAATAAATAGRCTACCCATTCCTACTTACTTTTGGGCGTACTTAATTTCGCGCTTGGCGAAACAGTTTTTCGCGAGGCTTTATTTTTGCGATTTCGATAGGGGAAATTGTAGAAATTTTATTGTTTGTACAATCGCGGGAAATCGTGAAATTGAGTACGAATAAGCTAGTCTATCGACCTTTCACATTAATGTTGCTAATCGTTGTTACTATTATGCTAAAGGTAATCTGGTACCACCTTTATGACAAATCTTCATCGAGAGACACTGGTACCCTCTATGCCTTGAGAAACTCAATACATGCAAGAAATGTCACAGATGACCCCCACAGCAGGTACTATGCAGCTAGTGAGTTTATTGATAAGGTAACTGATGCATACCTGATCGACGGAGCCCTCCATTACTTTGGTATGGCCACAATAGATGCCGAGCCTACAAAAAATACCTACCAAGGGCCACCCACCTGTAAGGATGCCAAAAAGGAATTTGCCTTAAAAACCATCTCTGGGTTTCTTAAAGAGCACGTAATATGTAACTTACCAGAACTTAGTACTGATGCACCAACAAGTAATGAGCTTAAATGCAGAGTTGGTGGTAAGTTGTATGTCCGTGCAGGCCCAATCCGTACACATGAGGTCAAGCAACACAACATTGGAAMCCCCACAAACTTCTTGTCATGCTTCTGTTGCGCCTTAACCACAATGATGCTATAAAGCTTGRGGATGGAGAACGTGTCATTAGGCTTTACAAGTATTTCTGTCTATACTTCAAGGTATCGAATTGCCCCAAGTATGCTATTGCAATGCTGCAGCTTCAGTCTCAAGTCAACTGCCTTTTAAGTCCAAGGCTTGCACATTCCCTTACCTGGAACAGGTTTGTAAGCCATAGARGAAATAGAGATTACTTCATGGAAAGCGCGCGCGTACGGGATTTTCGCACGAGTTGGTGAAGTATCTGAAATCGAACGAGTGAGCGAAGCGAACGAGTGAGATTTCAGATACAAAACCAACGAATGGGAAAATCCCGTACAAAGCGCTTTCCATGCTGTAATTTATTTAGTWTATACATACTGAGATTTTRYTGTTTTTATTTATTCACCTTTAATGGATTCTCTAAAAAAGTACAAAACTGCTGTATTTTAAAATTCTCCTCCGAAAAGCTAAAAGCTTGCTACATGTAAAAATATCACTATTTAAATCAAAAAACATATCTGGTACAAAGTAAATAGCAAAACGTTTGAATTCTAAACCAAATATGAAACTGTTCTTTAGAAAATAACGAAATAAGCAACCAAAATCAGTGGTCAATGAAGTCTTATAAACTTAGTTTGTCAAAACGGAGGGCTGTCTTCGTCTCGACGATTCAAACACACGCTTGATGCGTCATGAAGCAATGGGTCGACTCTGTTGATTTGAATGAGTTATCGGTGAAAGTCRGCGACTTGTTTAAAGTTTTTATTGTCATGTCAAACTGTCCTCATTGAAAAACTGCTCCACTGAATGGACCTGCTGCAGGGAAACTAGAACTTTTCATGAATGAAAATTCACGGCACTCGTTGCCCACTGCACTTTGCACACTGGCCTTTTTTCTATAGACGTACTTGTAGCATTTCCACTCAGACTCAAAGACATGTTTTTCTGTTGTTCGTTTGAGATAGTACTGCAATTCACTGATATACCCATTAAGCTATTCTGGCGGGATTTTCTCGACTCTTCTCGTTTCATTTTTGGAGTTGAGAAACTTACATCTCTTCGTGTTTTGACAGAGTGTTTCTGTGTGTTTTTTTTTTTGTTGCTTTTTTTTTGGTCTTCGATAAACTTGTCTATAGGTTTGTSAAGAGACACAAAAATCTTCTTGATTGTTCAGCCATCCTCACAAATATCTCCTAGCTCTTGATTAGATAAGTTTAATTTAAACTACGAACAACTTGAATACACTGAAAGTATTTGAAAGCTGCTCGACAAAGCTACCCGCGATGACCGCGAAAACACGATTCGCTTCGACAGTGGTTTGCGATTGGACGAAACGCTTTTTTCACGTGTGACAAATCGTTTCGCTTTTCTGATTGGCTAAAAAAAGTCGCGAACTTGTTTTTCACACAGGGAAATTTGATAAGAACATCTCAGTATGTAAAAAATAAAATGTGATACAAATCACCCTATGGACCTTGAAATAGAGCATGATAATAAGTCATTCAAGAATGATTGCCATAGCTACAGGGGGGAAATTACTGAAAAAAGTATCACAAGAGTTGGAAGGARCAATTCCACTTCTGATCACGTCCTTCATAACTTTGATCAGACTACAGATGTCAAGCGTCCATCTGGCAAACATACCATGATGTCAACAAAAGATGATGTTTTACTCATGCTTGACCATTTAACCCCAGCCCAAGTTTTTGATAGAAYACCAGGCAGAGCACATTCATGTTTTCAAGATATGCCACATAGTTTACTCGATGCTATTGACTGTGACAAACTTAAAACATGGATCAGCCAATCGACTAAGAAATTCAGTAAGAAACATTACCAAATTTAAGAAAAATAACTTTGTTGACCCTACAACACCAGACGAGAATAGCGAAAATACTGCAAAGTCAGAGCATATTATTAATCAGTGCTTATGGATCCTAAGAGGTACCAAAATTCTCTCTCTCGTATTCATAACAATTGCAAGTTTTACCCCTAAACGGTACAAAATGATGCTAATGTTACAGCATTTTAGTACCTGCTTACCAGTCTACTCAGGTAAAAATTTATTGTTTCAGTCAAAATGGTTGCCACATAGGAAAGGTAGAAGACATACTACACTGTATATAGACTTCATGCCCATAATTCAACAATAATGTTCTGCAATTACAATTTAGTCAAATTAAGGAATGGTTGATGCTCAACATTCATACATGTATATCCAGTTCTGGATTCATTTAGCTTGCTTAAGCACAAACGAATTATACATAATTGCATGCTAAGCATCAATCACTGTTATAACATAGCTGCAGAATGGAYTGAAGGTGAAAAAATCAAAATTTCACTTTAAAATATTTTGCATCAGAAATTTATAAAAACAAAAAATCCAAAATGACTCTAGAATTACTTTGTATTTTAAAAAACAGTTTTTAATATTAATGTATCAAGATATGATTTATGGTTGAAAATAATTTTTGAAAGCATGTGAGCTTGTACAATCTCCTGCATGCAGGTGCAAACTCCATTTCTTGATAAAAACGGTATATAAATAATTTCACTTGATTGCAGAAAGGTTGTACAGTAGTATACATTTATACAAATACCTAATGAGATACAACATATCAAATGAGATGCAGAATGTAAAACATACGTAAATACGATTGTTTAACCACAACATTTTGTGGAAAATATTTYTTTAACTTGAGTTTGTGTAATACTTATATCTCTGGTCAAACAGAATAAAAGGAAGAATAAACAAGTTAGTTTTTAAGTTTTGCATCCCATTTGATATCTTGCATCTAGATATATGTGTAAATGTATACTACTGTACAACCTTTCTGCAATCAAGTGTATATATATATAGATATATACAACCAATTCAAAAGCTCTGGTATAAATGTCCATAATATTATCATATTATCTTGATATCTTTTGATTTATTGTTAATAAATGTTAGGTTTTATCACATACTATAAAATAAAACTCAATACCACATATTTGTCCTATATACATATAYATGAAAATTCTGTACATTTATCAAACACTGCTTTCATCACTGCTATATTCTTCAGAACTTATGTAAGCACRTGTTCTTCTTTCAACCACCAAATCACTGTCGTCTTCACTATCACTTAGCAAATCCTCCATTGGATGTGTTACATGCGTTGTATTCTGAGCTTTTTCAGATTCACTTTCACTCTCATCATCATCAAGCTCACAGATACACTGCCAAGTGAACACTGCAYGCTCCTCATTGAAGAAACAGTGTTTAAGTTTTAGTAGTTCAAAACTCTTAATTTCTCCTGCGTGTTCAACAATATCATCTATTAATGACCTTGAGAAACCTGTGGCCAAGTCAAGACCAGTAAGTAGTTGCTCCTGCTTGTAATTACTTGCWAGAGTATATCTATATTGCAGGAGATCACTCCTCTAAGTTGCCTTCTGCTTACTGGTCAATTTTGTGGATTCATGAAGCTGGGCAGAAGTCTTCTCTGTATGGACTTTCTGAGGGCAGAGCAACTTTAAAAGTTGCTTTTCAAAATCTAGCTGATGAGCTTCCACATCACATGTTTTTTCACAAGAGCACTGTTCATTTTTACATGTGCAAAGACATCGGCATTTCTTTGCACATACATCACAGCATGAATGGGGAATCAGAGTATTTGCTGTAGGATTACTACAAAATGACTTTAGCAACATAACCCTCCTGCATTCTGAGGTGTTCAAAACATAATCTTTCATTTCTCTACTAATGTTTCTGCTTCTTGTGCATCCCTTGTACTTCAAGAGTAGTGCATGTGCATTGATGTCTTTCTGTCGTCCAACCCTGCCTGACTCTTGTAGATAATCATCAAGCCCACTTGACGGTCCAAGGTGAATCACTATGTTTCCACCCTTAACATTCACTCCCATGCCAAAAGCAATGGTACAGAAGACAATTCGTACTGTTCCATTTTCCTTACGAAATTCTGTCTCTATGGTGCTCTTAACCAATTTATGGGTTTTTTTATGATACATAGCAAACAGTCTTGTGCGGTCATCTTCAGGTTCCTCACCAGTTGGACTGTAGTATCCCTTAGGCCCTAGGCATTGATAAAATAACTCAAAGAGCTCTTTTACGTGTTCTTTCTTACGACAGAAGACCATAACTTTTGTAGCAGTCAACTGATTTTGTTCAATATCATCGATTATGCATTTGAATGTACCATATAAATCCTGGTCATGAATGTTATAATTACTGTGTATCGAATGTTTGCTTTGTTAGGATCACCCAAAATCTCTACACAGTCTCTCATACAAAGATCCTTAATAATGGTTTTCCTGGTTGAGGCAGTGGCTGTAGCTGTCAGTGCTACGAATGGGACATCTCTGTGCAATAACGACCTTAGTTCTCCAAGCCTTCCATAGTCCCTCCGGAATGCCTCCTCATTTGCAGTGTCCTTACCCCTGAAACACATAAGGGAGACCGCATAAAGTTAAGGACGTTCGCGGGCATTGTTTGCGCGCATGCTTTCTACGCATTATTTTTAAACAAAAAATCTTTAAAAAAATCTTCAAAAAAATCTTTAAAAAAATCTTAAAATCCCCTAGTAAACCTTGTAGTTTAGGAGTTAGAACCCCGAAAATTGGAAGAAATTTCCTTGTAGTATAAATGTTTTTCGTGATCCTAAAATARTTAAAAGTAGATAGGCAATAATAGTATTCCACCAGATATTTAGTAAGCTTAAATCAAATTTTTAGCTTATTGCCYTACAATGAGAGGGGAAAAATACTGCCATACAATAATTTTTAATGATGTCCTAAGATTATTAAGTTTAACGACTTTTTTGAAGATGAACAGGAAGTTTTATCTTAATTTAACAGAACAAATTATCATTTTTTAAACCTCGATTTTAAGATCACGGATATATATTCTACAACATACCTATATAATATTCAGATTTTTTAATGATGTCCTAAGATTATTAAGCTTACACGACTGTTTTGAACAGGAAGTTTTCTATCTTTATTTAACCGACAAATTGTCATTTTTTTTA